CGTTGCCAGATTTTGCTACTTTCGGAAACGTTTCGTTATTTAAAACTACTTGTTCAACTACTGGCGACTTTTTAACTACTATTAGGTTACTTTTTGGCCTTTTAATATCGTGAAATATTAAATAATATGTTATCAATTCATACTTTTGGGCAATTCGTAAAGCTTTTTGCTAAAATAGCCGATTGTTTTTGTTATTTGTTATTTTAACGTTTTATTAGGCCGTAAACACTTTTAAGTTGGTGTTTATTCTCCCTGAATCACAAAATTATTTCACAACAACGAAAATTAATAATTTCATTTTGTAATCACCCACAAATGTGAATTTGCTGAGATTTACTATGCAATAATTGGCGGCGAGTTTTTTAAGTCAAATCGGAGTGAATCGAAGACGCAAACTTTTTCATTGGAATGCGGCAATATGAAATACTGAAAATGAAACTGTAAACAAATTGTTGTAAAAGGCCTGCGTCTGATTAAAGTCGCTTCATTAGGCATTTTGTAACTTGCAAAATTTTATGGGCCTAGGACACACATAAGTTTGAGCGGTGGTGATCATATCTTCACTAGAACCGAAACACAGTTAATTGTGCGCGGATTTTGCCTTTTTATTCATTACTTCAAATTGCCGTCGGAAATTTTCGTGTTTATATTATACGATCCATATTACAAAGTTGGAAACGCAACTTTTTACCGAGTCGTGGTGATATATTAGATAATTAATTAAAGTATATTCAACTAATCTTTATTGTCCTAAAATAAATTTTACTTCATGAGATTTCATAGCAGACTTGGGCATTTTTCCAACGGCTTTATCTGAAGAAAATTATGTCCTTGGCAGCATTGTGATAGAGCGGAGTCATTATTGCAAGAACAGCTTAGGTTTGTCAAATTCGAAAAATGGCGAAAATACGAATCAAAACTAGATAAAACCGGGAAGTTCCCCATACATTTTTATGTTGGATTGCTGTGGTATTTTAGGGTAGTGATGCGTTCATATTGTCGACGCAACCGCAAGTTAAATTGAAGACAAGTAAATTAAAAAAAAAAGCAAGACATTTTAATGTGATGACCTTATCGGTCATGGATTGATTACTTTGCACAACAGAAAAATCATTATTATTCGTCGAAAAATTCGTTCCGCGGGGATTTCTAAGCGATGAATATGTATTTTTGATTTATTTATGTACTTTATACGTATTTAATTATACTTTACGAGACTTTTATTACAGATCTTGAGATTTTTTTAACGGCGATAACGAATTCGCAAGATCACAAAAAAGTATCAAAACTAAATACAATTAGTCTAGTAATGTTTATATTTTGACGCAAGATGACGCAACCGCGATTTACGTTGGACACACAATTATTATAAATATAGAAGAAAACTTTATAGATTCTCATACCCGTCATGAATCAAATTTTTACGCGACAAAAAAGTTGATATAAGCTGAAAAGGCGGCTCTTAACGAGCGCGTAATCGCGGTAACTGTTACAGAAGAGAATGAAATATTTCGATTTCAACCCCCATTTCAGAGTAATAATGAACACTGCGTGAGAAAATTGCAGTCATTGCTGGAGATACGAAACGAAGTTTTGAACTCGGAGAAAAGAACATCAGCAAGATGTAAAACAAACGAAATTCGGAAAATAGGCTCTCTAGAAACATGCCCTTTCTACAGATCACAAAATTCATTGGGAAAACAGCTGGATATTAGAAAATGAAATTCACTAGAAGGAAAGACTATTTCTCAAATCGTATCACATAAACAAATAGAAAAATTCAATGACCGATAAAGAAACTACATTGTTCCCGCATGTGTATAAGTCATTGTTAAGATAGCCGCATATATTTTTAAACTTGCGCCAATTCACTCGGATTTATTATCCCCTTTTGTTGTATTTTTTGTTTGTCCCCTTTTTCCCCTTTTTTTTCCTTTTTTCCCCTTTTTCAATTTTTTTCACGCTGTGATAATTCTTACCTTTTATTTTTGTGCTCTATATATATATACGATAGTGTACTCTTCATATCATGCCCTGATAAATTTTTCTGAATGAAATTTGAAACGTCGACAAATTAAATCGCTTTACTATACACCGGTCGTGCTTCACTTATCTTCTACACGCGATAGTGCTCATAATTCATAAAATGGCAAGCTGAGTTCAAAAGGTTGCAAACTCCTGCTTTACAATATATATGAAAAAGTGATAAAGATGAATACGACTAGTTTGTGGAATGAAAGGTAATATTTTATAGAAATATATCTTGGGTGACCTCGGTAACGACGTTACATTTTAGGACGCAAACTTCAGATTCGTTGTATCGAGAAAAACCTATATAAACAAATATAAACAACATTTTGGGTGACTGATTTTTAACTTATATAATACATTGTGATATTTTCACTTTAAATTTTCAAATCTGCACTACATGTCTTAAAATTTATCAGCTTGTTCCGAAATGTTTTTGTTTTACCTGAACTCTTTTAGGATTATCAAATAAAGGAAAAAATAGCAAGCATTTCAATACTGAAATGGAATTAACTAACTCTTAAATAAGACATTCATTATGCGTTATATGTTCAAAATGAATTTACCATTTTTTGCAATTGAAATTCTAAAACTATACTTTGCATGCTTTGAAACACCACTACTTCAGCATTAAAAACAGAAAACTTCGCATTGAGCCGAAATTTAATTTAAACCTAATTCATGGCGGCCAATCCTATTTTACTTAAAAATGAACTAAGATCCTATTGGTTAGCACAAAACAAGCATGATTGGTATTTTTGAAATACGAAGATATAAAGTAAATGTATATTTATACGCAAATACAATTATTTGCAAGTTTCATTTGCGACTTTGTGTACTCAAGACACAGCTGGTTTTAAAAATGTTCCTTACGTCACATAATAGCATTGTTTCATAATTAACATATGCACAACACAATAGAATAGTAATTTTGAATCCTTGAATGAATTTTAAGATGCCACTTATTGCGTATTATTCGTTATGTTTGAATGCACTATATATCAGGGGTGGCCAACCTGCTTACGACCGCGATCAACTAAACGAGTGAGTAATAAATATACGGATAACTACTAACACGCATACAAAAACTCCAACGCTGCTAATAATCTCGACTCCGTGGGCGCATTTTTAATGAAATCGATTCTATTTTTTTTTTTCATGTTCGATTTAATTTGGTTATGCAATTGTACCAGGTGTAAATGTTTCAACTTTTATTTAAGATTTATTCAAATAGTACAATTCAGATTTAAGGTCTGCCTAACTTTTAGTCGTAAGTGATGTAAATTGCTCAAAAAACCCTCCAAATAGCCGTATTATCTAAACAGCGTAAAAAAAAATTCTCAAACCATAAATGTTACATCACTGATCAAACTTATGTATCTTATTACCTCTTATTACCTCTACCGACTTTTCGCTCTCTTGTAATCAGAAAAAAATTGGGCTTTCTGATGTCACTCTCAACCCTTGCAAATAAAGTTTATCACATTATTCTTGGAATGAGACGATAACTTTTGCATGCTGCAGAAGGTATTGTAGGATCGTTTCTTAGACAAGACACATAATATTCAGCACGTTCATTCCCAAACCATGGCAGAGGCAAAACTTGCATTTGTTACGTAATAATATGCTATATATATCGGACTCTGTCTTACTGTATTCGTCTTGTTTCAAAACATACAATAGGCCCTGAATGAAACTGGCAAGATAATTATTTGGGGCATGGTATTGAATTCACTCAACATCAGACGCGATCGACTACTGGAGACGTGGCTATCGACGTGTTGGCCACCCTGGTATATGTCATTTACCCGAGTTTGCAAGTTATGGGTTTGTTTTATACAAAATCTCGACCAGCTAAATCAACATTAAATAATCAACATTGGACTTATACAACACTATTTAAACGCCCGACAATTCCTATCTGTGTAACAGCAAATGTTGTTTTTTGAACCATTCCTACATTTATGCAATTTTGAAAAAAAACATATTTCTGAAAATCAATTTATAGATGAAAGTTTCACTACTAATATGATTTTTTGATAACAGGCTCTTATGTGAATGAATCTATTTATAGGTTTCTTCGCGATGACAGGTCTATAACATTTGTCAATTGCTCTATTCAGTTCGATATTGTAATGAAACTAGAGATGCGTTATAGGAAGTTATTGATATTTCCATCATTAGAAACAGCCAATTGCTTTTTAACATCCTGTTGTTATGCATTGAGGTCTAAAGAGCAGTTCACTCAATTGTGTACGAGTTGTGAATATAAAGTCGGGTCAGAGACTATTAACTTGAAAAATATTGTGGTTCGAATATATTATTCCAATTCGATCATTGGATGGCGATTACATTATGTAAATCTTCTCATCACATTGCAAAATGTGATTGTATACATCCCTGGCCTATAAAGCTCATTATATACATAAATTTAAAAAATCATAATACATATTTATATTTTGTTGTAAAATAAAATGATCACAGCAATTCCGTTCGCACTCACTCAGATATATAGAAGTTGTACTCCGAGTAAAGTCTCTGGCCACCCTCAAGTCGCAAAAGTTACTGTTATAATAAAGTCCACAAATTTTAGTTTTTGAGAACAAGGATTACGTAAATGATGTAGGTTTCCATTTTAGGTCAGTTTTAATTCCTGAATTAAATTAATCACTTAGAATATAAAGAAGTATTGCATAATCTATACCACATTTTTTATATATTTGGATTAATTTAAAGAATTTATCTCCAAATCATTAGTCTTCCAGGTTTTAAACAGCATATGATTAAAATATTTGCCGGTATCGTGTATTGTTCTTTTATGCAGAATTTCGGTAATTCTATGACGTCCATATTGTAACTAATCCATGTGTTTCCAACCTGCTGTTCACCATACATTATCAAATATGTTCTAGTTAATAAATAATCACTACTGGAGGTACCGTGTACTTCATTTCAAACATTCTTTTATTTGTTAGGATCAACAACATGCTGAAGAGTCTTGCAATAGTGGTAATATTGGCTGGTTTTGTCTTCAGTGAAGATGGTAAATACAGAAAAAGAATTTGAATTAAATACTGCTTCTCGGTTGTTGTTTATAGATTTTGTAATTATTTTTTCTGTTTAATCTGATTTCTATATTACCAAAATTGTGGGTGTAAATTTATTTTTTTTTTAATTTTTTCTTAACTCCTAACGTTTTGCATTTTATTTTTAGGATCGACCCCTACAGCAATTGATAGTGTAGGTTGGTATATTTATTGTCTCTTCAGAAATTTAAATAAATATTATGATTTACATCAATCTAGCTATTTTACAGAGTTTGATGGAATTCATCTTCATATTCGTTTGCTTTCACTTTTCAAATTTAAACTGGCTTCAAATTAGTTTTACATACAGTCCTACGTATCCTGTTTTGAATCTTATTTTATTTACGCCATAATATTTTACTATGCTTGCTACATTTAATTACTTTTACTGATACTTTGTATCGTGAAACAATGCTGTTGCATCTGGCATAGTAATTCAGAAATATACGATCTGTTCATTTTTTGACCATTGCTAAAAATATTAAAACTTTCTAAACTATGCAGATGGATTGATAACTGATTATAAATCTTACATGTATGGAATTTGATATATTCACTTTTTAAGTTTCATATGCAACAAATTAACAACTTTTATTAAAATATAACTTTTTTCTACAGAGTCCGTATCAAGTGAGTGTAAACTTTTTTTAATACTTTTATGGCATATTTCAAATAAGAGCAAATTAAAAATGGAGAAATTTTCATTTGATTACTATAAAATATAATCTTATTCTTTTAAACATTAAATGTATGAAAAAAAATTGGTAAATATCTTATAAAATAACATGTCATGTTAGGTTTCAATAAATATCTGTTTGCATGTATTTTAAGATATCGAAATTCCCAAATTAAAATACGTTGGCATTTGTAAATGTTTGTGTGCAACATAAGTTGTCTGCTTTAATACATAGAAAAAGGTTAATTGACATCGCTTAGGTGAATAATTAATTATTAAAAGAGACTTAATTATAGATTTCTAAAAGTATAATTGCATTAAACAAAATCATTTAGACTCTGCAACAACCGAAAGTATATCTAGAGATTTGAAAAACACTGGTATGTTTATTACTGTTAGTAGAGAATAATTTATTAAAAAATTGGATAATAAATTTTGTAAAGTATATAAACGATGTTTTGCTCCATGATCTCTCATGGACGACATATGCGACTGAACATTGCAGCTTATACGAAATATTGACAATAAATTTTGTATAAAAAATATTTTTTTTTATGTAGAGTTTCTAAATAAATAAAATTCAATATACAAAATCTATTTTTGGTATGTATTAACTATACATTTATATGCAATATGTCCAAAATCTAGAAATTAATGCATTATATACACAGGAAATAAAAATAGCATTATAGTCTAGTTTTAGAATATGAATTTTTCAAACAAATTGGCAATTTCGAAAACAATATTTTAAATATTACAAATAACTGATGCTCACACACACATATTTTACGGTTTTATGTTTAGTAAATGACATACTTATTTAGTAATTAACATACCTATTTAAAATATGGGTTACTTTAGAACTTGATCAACTTGGCAATTTCGAAAACAATATTTTAAATATTATAAATAACTGATGCTCACACACACATATTTTACGGTTTTATGTTTAGTAAATGACATACTTATTTAGTAAATAACATACCTATTTAAAATATGGGTTACTTTAGAACTTGATCTACAAATATTGCAAGGAATAAATAGTAAGTATGTTTATTTTTATTTTAGTTAGATTTCATTGTCTTTCAGGTGTATATAAGTCATATTTCATCTAGTTGAATCAGACGCCAATCGAATTAAATTCATTGTGAAAATATAAAATACACTCTAGTTGAAACAAATTTTTATTAAAAACTGGAAATAGTTATAATTTTCAGTTCAAGTAATTTTTTCATTTATTTAGAAATGGAAAAAGAACTTATTGATGAGGCACTTTCTGCATCTGGTAAACACGTATTTTAATTTTTATTGACATCATAAAAGTTATGTTTGTGAAAAAACATGATTTTATTCTGGAAAATAATTTATATTAATTTTATATGATACCGAAAAAGTTGGAATTATTGTTTTCTAATGTTTTACTTTTTATTTAATCAGTATTCAAATACTTACATTTATCATTCTTAACTGTTAATTAATATTGTTGTATTTGACAGGTCGGATATCAGCTAGTAAGTATTTATATATGTTGCAATAGCTTTATTTAAAATCTCTCATCTAATTGTGTTGACTGACTTCACTTATTTATTTTTCTCTTTACGTTCTTAAAATATGTTTTTTTTAGTATCTAAGATTACTTGATAAATAATATATACCAACTTACTTTTTTATACTGGAAAATAAAATGAAATAAATACTTTGTTGCATTGATTTGTAGGTGAACTATTGGAAGCGCAGATGAGAATGACCGAGTTCACAAGTGAGCTAAAAATTTAATAAAACTTTATATTCTCATTTTAAATATATTGTATTCCAAGTTTCATTCAATATTTCTGTAATGCTCTTATCAATAATACGTGTTCGAAAATTTTTCATTTTTATTTTTTAATAATTTTTTTTTTTATTATAGTAAATTTTTTTTTCGATTCAAAACTTTTATCAAATCCAAATTTTCCATTTTTAAGTGTGCATGAACACTGATGAGTTTGAAATGCCGCTGAGATATAATTATAAACAAACTATATCACATTGCATTAGATGTGTAAAATGATCCATGCAATAAGCCAATCTAATCTCTATTGTTGATAACAGTCTTATTTCTGTTTTTGTTTTAGTTCGAATGGAGTTAATGTCAAAAACAGTCAGTACAATGGATAAAAATATAGAATCACTTCTCAAATCGCAGTGAAGATACCTTCTGAATTTTCAGAAAATAGCATCAGAATTGCATCATATGATTGGCAAAGAACCTTGTTGATTTAATTTATTTTGAAAAAATGTGTGGTTAAAATAAATAAAATATCATCCATATAGAAATTGAATTTGTTTATCTCATATTTATGTCAACAATTTACAGTCATTTGAAAGCGAAAGCTTTGCTGAGTATACATATAAAGATTTTACTACATACTCTAGTTACGTCTAGTAATTAATGTTAACTGCTACATAGCTATTTTTACCAAAGTTACGTACACAACATTTAAAAATTGCCGGGGTCCGGTCATTCCGAGAACGTATTTTAACTAATCATGATAACTGCAAATCTAACGTTTGACAAAATACAAGGGCAATGCTCATCTATTTGGTGCCTTTGTGACAAGATTTCAGTTGTATAGCCGAGCGCGTGAGATATTGTGAAATATTCGCCCTCATATCACTTGTAAAATATATATTTATTTAATAGGTTTCCATCGACTTGAATTATCTTTAAGACTAGAAGTTTGGAATATAAGAAAAACCACGAAGTACACAAGAATTTTAGAAATTTATTGGTCGACGCCGTGTCCAATAGCGGACGTCAATTGTTAGTCTCAGAAATTACATTTCACTGTTTACGCCAATTATTACAATCTTGGTTCTAGGATGTGAGAGTATAAACTATTTTGCAAAATTGAGTAATTTGTTATATTTTTAAAATTCAATAATATAAATATAAAATACGATAAAATCTGACAAATAGCTGCATGCTATGAGCTACATAATAAGGAATTTTTGCGCTAATATCTAAATATCTATGAGGAATGTATTCTAAAAGCAACTCCTTTTAAAACATTGAATCAAAATGGAAAATGATTGGAAACTTTATACAATTAATGACAATATATTAAAATAAAGCATTGGAAAAAATTTAGGACCACTTTTATTGAAAAATGGACTATAGTGTAAAACTTTCATTTCAAACTTTGTTTTAAGTCTAATGTAATATGATCAATATGTTACCTAATAATGGAAGATGTTAAAGGAATACTTTATTGCTTTTGGGTTATCGATCAATGTATCAAAAAGCTCGTACTGTTGAGTTAGTGAGTGACTCTTATATTTGTCATAAATAATATTCTCTAACAATAATTTTAGGAATTTAACTGCCTCGCAAATAGTAAAAGCATAAATATTTCATATGCTCTGTGATTTAGGCAATTTTTTAATAAACTGATTTTTATTAATTGAATTATTACCAAAAATTTAGAATAAAGTTTCAATTTTTTACCAATTGATGTTAAATCATCAAAAATATATCATCAACTTTGAAATACAGAAAATATGTTTACCGTTTGATACAGAAATTAAAATTTATCTTCTGATTAAAAAGAACAACTTTTTGTTCAGAGAATAAATTTAAATAAATAAAAGCTTGTGTTGATTAATAATATAATAAAATGACAAAATAAAAAAACATAATTATAATTTCCTAATGTTATTTGATTAAAACAAAAATTGAAAGGTTTATGGTACAATTACATTTTTTTCAAATGAGTCAATTTTTTTGACAAAGGCTATTTTTAATTTGGTATCAGTAAGCAGAATTGTTGTCGGAATTACAAAACTACAATTGAGGTACATACAACCTAATATTATTTTTTAGTAATTTATATTAGATTTATGTCAATATTTTACAGTATTTCAAAACAGAATACTTTGATAGCAGTGATTTATATTATAGATATAAATTGGAAAAGAACCTGATCTGATCATATCACTGAAGGAGACAAAGGTATGTACCGTGTATTGCATGTCTTATAATTAGGAATATGTATGGAGGTAATTGCTACTAACAACAGCTTAAGTATTCAATAATTAAACACTCGAAATAAAAATCTATACGTAAGTGAAAAAATGGATTTTTGAAAAACAGATTTACCATGCGGGGAAACATTGCTTGCTCATGAATCCATTTTTGTTGTCATATTGGTATTTTCCATTTTGTTTCTTATTTACATTCCATGAGCTTTAAAAATAAAATTAATTGAAAATGCCTCATTCCGTGCTCTCGGTAATGTACTTGTGACTGGTAAGGTTTAAAACCGATTTTGCAATTTAACCTAATTTATGATAAAATTAAAATTTGTGAATAGATTACTTTTGCAAGACCAAAAGTTTAGTCTTCAAATGCGTATAACGCATAAATGCATGTATCAACGTATATTAATATTAGGAACACTGTAATTTATCTATAACAATGTAAGATTATTGACTGAACTATGCAAAGATATGTGCTATGATAGATAAATACATATAAATAAAATTAATTTTAATAAAAATGTGTTCCTAACTAGAGGACCTGTTATTTTAGGAATAACGTAAAATTAACTCATAATATTTGTTGTAACATTTGCTTCATACACGATGTTTTACAAAATAATTTTGTGCAAATGGATTATTAACTTGTCTACGCTGCCAGTAAAAAAATATTTTAGTCCAAATAAAAGGCGTCTTTTTTAAATCACTCGTTTTCAATGTTTTTCAATGTAAACAGAATATAGTTGAAATATTTTCCTGCGTCATTAATTCATTTTATTCACAATTAACAGATGTCCAGAACAATTACACGGCCATATTGTCAACAATACAATTGTTTACTTGCGTCATTATTTCATTTTATTCACAATTAACAGATGCCCCAAACAATTACACGGCCATATTGTGAACAATACAATTGCCTTTTTTCACACCTGCTTTCCATACGCTTTTAAATATGTATTTGCCAAAAAATAACAACTACGAGAATGCACAATGCATTTATTTTAAAGTTTCTTGGACATCGGGTGCATCGACAACATGATGAAGAGTTTTGCCTTAGTGTTAATACTGGTTGGAATCGTTACTTGTGAAGATGGTAAGTGTGAATGGATATTAACATACACAGGATATTTCCTTTTTCGTAATTTTAGCCATCCGCAATTATTTTATTGTGATTTGCGTTCAAAATATTTCAAGTAGATATTTACTAATTGTCCAGGGAAAGTTTGGATCCACATGCTCTTTCGAATACCCACACAGAGAAAAATCTTCTTCGTTCAAGTCAAATGAATGAAGTGCCCATTCTACACCACTGATCAAACTTTCTGAAATCCATCTCCAATCCAGTCATGGGTGTCATTTGATATGTTTGGGTACTCTCTGTCTTGATGAAACTACTAATGAACCTAATCAATTCCTCTACCTCGTCCAAGAGATGCCCATTTCTCTCACAGCATCGCCTCATACTGTTCTATATTCAACGCTTGATTTTCGATTTTAAGCCAAATATGGATCAGTTTTGCAAAGTAAACGACTCTTCATGCTGCGCAATGTACTCAGTGCTCAGTGCAGTTCACCATACCTTATCAAATATGTTCTAGTCAATAAAAAATCAGTACTAGATGTGACATGCACTTTATTCCATTCTTGGTATTTGTCGGATATACAACATGCTGAGAAGTTTTGCTTTAGTGGTAATATTGGCTGGTTTTGTCTTCAGTGAGGATGGTTAATATAGAAAGAAATATTTAAAGTGAATTCGATTTCTCGAATTTTGTTTCCATATTTTGTAATCATTTTAATTTTTAATTTATTTTTTCGATTACATAAATATTGTGTTTATGTATTTTATTTTTAATTTTATTTCTCACATTTTGATGTTTTCACATTATTTATAGAATCGACCTCTGCAACAATTGCTGGCATGAGTAAGTATATTTATATATAAATATTATCTGTTCAGAAATGAAAATGAATATTATAATTTACATCAAGCTAGTTATTTTACAGAGTTCGAAGGAATTATTCTTTACATTCGTGTGTTTTACACATTTTAAACTGGTTTCAAATTAGTTTCGCATAAAATTACTTCGTATTCTGTTTTAAATCTTACTTTATGTGAGCCATGAAAAATTCTTTCTTATGATTGATAAATATAATTATTTATGTGCCCAGTGGTGTGCAACCTTTCTTGCAGGAGGGCCAAATACAAATACCTGATTGAAACCGCGGTCTGCAACTTTATCAAACATGTGCTTTATAGTAGTCGCAAGCACTAAATTTTTAGTTGTTGGTCTTATGATATGTGTAATTTGTACAAGCTAGCTGTAAGAGAACTTTATTAATAAACTGTGTAATGTGCCAGATTGTATCAAAAATTCTTTGTCAGATATTTGTTCCAAGAATCATAGATTTCAAATATTTTACTCTAAAATATTATTTAGCCAAATATAATTGAATTTAGTTAATAATTTTGTATATAAATATATATTGTTTTCTAGCTGCCGCATCAAGTGAGTGTAAACTATTTTAACTACTATTAGATCTATTTTTAAAAAATAACAATTTTGAAATAGAGACATTTTGGTTGTTATAACACTTGATTATTTTTAACTTGAATTGATGAAAAATAATTAATATATTATTAAGCATTATGCCACGTTAATTTCAATGACAATCTGTTTACGAGTATCGAGTATTTTTATATTTTAAAATTAGGTTTTGAAATACTTATTGAGATTTTTAAATACTTGTGTACAATATTTGCTGTCTGTTTCAATACATGGGAAAAGTAGAATTGGGAGCAATTAGATGAACAAATAATTTATAATACAGTTCAATTTCAGATTTCTAAAAGTATATTTACATTTAAATGTAAACATTGCATTCAGACTCTGAAACGCTCGAAGGTTTATCCAAAGATTTAAAAAACACTGGTATGTTTATTATATTTCATGTTAAAATAATATATCCACTTAGACAACAACATTCTGTGAAAAAAATTGAATAATATTATAAATTGTTATAATTGGTCATGACCGAACATTTCAGCTTATACGAAATATTCACATTAAATTTTGTATAAGTTACTTTTTTTTTATGTGAAATTTCTAAACTTTCAAATATCCAATATGCAGAATCTATAAGAAATATTTTAGGTATATACCCGCAACATATTAGTACGTAATATATCTAAAATCTATAAAATGATATAATATACAGATGAAATAAAAAAAAAGCATTATATTCTAGTTTCAGTATGATATCTTTCAAACAACTTGGCATTGCAAAAACTATATTTCAAATTTTAAATCACACATATAAATTTTTACAGTGATTTAACCATTGCAATTAGTAAATATAACATTACATATTTCAAAATTAGTGTCAATTTAGAACTTGATCTTCGAAAATTGCGGGAAATAAATAGTAAGTTAGTTTATTTTTATTCTGGTTGGAGTTTATTGTTTTTTGAAGAGATTTCAGGTCGTATTTATTCAAGTTTAATGAGAACTCAATCGAGTAATTGAATGCTCAAAATACACTCAGGGATTAAACAAATTTTCCTAAAAACTGTAAATAATTGTATGCTAACGACTTTTTGTGTTTATTTAGAAATTGAAAAAGAACTTATTGATGAGGCACTTTCTGCATCTGGTAAATACGTATATTAATTTTATATTAATATCATTAAGTTTTTAATTGTGAATAAATATTATCATGATCTTTTTCACAAGAATTACTTAATAATTTATATTGATGTTATATTAGTAGAAAATTGTTTGAAGATATTATTTTGTTTTTTGTTTTACTTTTTATTTGTTTAAATATTTTAAAAAATATTTTTAATGACATATATTTAATATTGTTGTTTTTGACAGACCTGGTAACAGTTAGTAAGTATTTATATATATGTAGTTTTAATTTATTTGAAATCTTGCATCTGCTAGCATTGACAGACCTTCTTCAATTTCTTACTACATTAACTCTTTCTCACATACTGCATTAATACCAAATGATATTTTGAGTATCGAATATCAATCACCTAATTTACGGCTGCTTACCCTGAGGTCATTTTTCACTTTTCATTTTAAAATTTGTTGTTTTAGCAATTGTTAGTTCCTAAAGATATACTTATGCCTTTTTACTAGCGCATGCTATAGTTCTATTTCTAGCTATATAACTTCTATACATAGTTCTTCTTCTTCTTCTATTTAGCTATATACCTTTGAAAACAACTCTGAACTTTAGAGTAGGTTTTCCCTGGTAGAGGGTTAAGAAATAGTTGTAGATATTAATTAATATTTCAAAGTTGTTTTCTGTTATTTTACAACAAAACATCACCACAACCACTATTACAGCTAAATCGCTAATGTGAAATTCACATTTGTATTACGAGAATTACGAATTTGACATTTCAGTTGGTAGTTTTATGACGTCACACGCAAATTATTATTGTATCAACTCAAATTTGTTATATTGAATGGGAAAATTAACAAAATACTTTGTTTTGTAGGCTTGGTTCTATTGGAAGCGCAGATAAGAATAAACGAATCCAATCGTAAGTTAAAATTTGGATGATTTTTTTAATATTCTCCTTTTGAACATTTTTTATGCCTAAAAAGTTTCATGCAATTTTTTTGCAACAACATACGTTTATATAAAAGTTTAATTTTTATTATTTTGTAATTACTTTTTTCAATATAGTAAACGCTTCTTATTAATAACACAATTTGAAACTTATATCCTCATACAATTAATTTTTTATATTAATCGGTACATTAGAGTACACAAGAGTGTCGGGTTTAAAATGCCACTGAAATAAAATGATAAATAAACTATAGCAAATCGCATTAGTTGTGTAATATGAACCTTGCAATAAGTCGGTATAATCTCAAATATTGTTGATAACAACCTTGTTTCTGTTTTTTGTTTAGTTAAAATGGAGTTATTGTCAAAAGCAACAAGTGAAATGGCTCAAGAAATAGACTCCCTTATCAACGCACAGTGAAGATGAATTATTAGAGAAATGATTATCATCAAAATTTGCATTATATGATTGGGAATGAACCTCGTTAAATTAATTTAGTTAGATAAATTATAATCAAAATAAATGAATTATCATACACATGAAATTGTTTTATTTATTTCATATTTATGTCAACAATTTACACTCAAATGAAATAAGAAGCGACGATGATAGTATCATTGTATTCTTCAACAAATGTTTCGTACACAAATTTTAAAAATTATCGATGTCGGTCATACCAAGAATATACATGCAAATTATGCAAATTAAATGGATCGTTTGAAAAATACAAGATTAATGCCCAGCATCAATTATGTATTACATAGGTAGTAGGTATTACTAGGTTTAAGGTGTGTTATAGAGCGACGGGATATTGTGAAATATTCGGCCCCACAATACCAGTTATATATATATATATATATTCAATATGCTTCCATTGACTTGAATAATCCTAGAAATTTAAAATTTGGAACCTATAACTATTTTTCAAAATATAGGTAGTTTATCTATTTTAAAAACCAATAAGATACATATAAAATAAGACCAAATCTGTCAAATAGCTGCATGCTATGAGCTACAATAACAAAGCATTTTTCGCCACCATGTCTGAAAATCTGTGAAAAGTGCATCCAAAAACCCGCTAATTCTAAAATATAAAGTTACTTAATATAGCAAATATTTAGAGACTTTATAGCCTACAGGTAAAAATACGGTTTGGAAAAAATTTGAGGTTTAAAGGATAAAGTGGAAGGATTTTTGTTAAAAATGTCTTATAGCGTAAAACTTCCACTACAAAATGACTGTTGCTCTAATCTAATATTATCAATAAGGTACCTAATGAAGAAATATGTTAAAGAAACTATTTTATTGTTAATGAGTTATCGATCAATTCCACTTGAGAAAACTTGTACTTTTGAGTTAGTTAGTGACTATAAGGTTTATCCTAAATGATAATCTTTAACAATAATTTAAATTGTCCCGCAATCAGAGATAGTATATTACAAAATGTAGCAATGTAGCTTTCATATCAAAATACATACTGGCAACAACAATTCACATCGCATAGTTCAGCGTTTCCCAAACTTTTTCAGCCACGGAACACTTACACTTTTTTATCTCGCCTTGCGGAACACTAAAAAATGAACGGGTAAAATTGATAAAGAAAAACGTCGTGGCGAGTTGCCAAATGCGCCGCAAAAAATAACAGAATTTTGTTGAACATACCTAAAATATGATTGAATATTTTACATATTTCATTTATTATAAATGTTTTATTGTTTCTCAATTTGAATGCTGTGTATATGAATCAACAAAATCATTTTACCTTTCTATGTCGTTTACTTTCCATTACGTAGTGTTTGCCTCTATAATGTTACGTCTAATGGAGATAGAAGTACTTTCTGCAAATTCGCGAGCTGCAGTTTATTTATCTGCTGAATCTAGTTTAGCGAACAAGAGTAATATTTTCAGCATTTCAAAGTAAAATCCGGCAAGGATGACGGAAGAGGAGTTGACCATTTGCCTTTATTCCTAAGACCTACTTGTTTGCCTATAGCAAAAGGATTGCTGCAAATTTGAGAATGAGCTTAACAGTCAAAAAGTTAGGCCGACGGTTAACGAATACGCCACTACCCTACCTTAGTTAGTCCGCTTTAGGCCGACGGTGACACGATATTGAACGGTCAGTTGGGCGACAACTTCACGATCCTTAGATCGCCATGGCGACCCATTTAGACGTATTTTTGATATATTTTCCACGGAACACTCGGAAGACGCTCGCGGAACACTTGTGTCCCGCGGAACTCAGTTTGGGAAACGCTGGCATAGTTCATAACAGTAGATTGAATATTCGAATGTTGCCTGTTTCCTAAACATTGTTTTTCTAATCTAAAATAGATTTAAAAATAACCCTTATTATTGATGAGCATTAAACCATATAGTTAATAACTTAACAACTTCAAAATCCATGTGTAATGGTTGATAATTGTATCATCAAAATACATATTAAAAACCAAGATTTTATCCTTTATAAGAAAAGAAAATAGGTTGGAACAATCTTAAAACTACGTCCAACTTATCAAATAAATTTGAGTAACACTTTTCAAAACATTTAAGACGATTAGTTGGTCATATTTTCATATAATTTCTATTTCAATTTAAAAATATTTCCCTTCCCAAATACCCCACACTCAATGATGTTAACCGGCATTATATCTGGTATGTGTAATATGAAAGTCAAAATCTCCCTTACACATCACAATGTATTCTACGTTTAAAACAAATACCCAACAAGAAAATATACAACTATTTTCCTTCAACTGTAGTTGGATCACTGTGAACCTACCTTAATTTTTATCTATAGTACAGCGTTGTGTCCAAAACTACATCTGCACGAAAAAATAGCCTAGATCACTTCCCAATGAAATGTAAAGAAAAAAACTATCAATCAATGTATAATAAACTGCTTCTTGATTTAGTGAGTAAATTATATTCTTATCCACGTGTAAAAAATATTTTTGTTCGGAGGAATATGCTCTCTGATAAATTGATAAATAATTATTATTGGTAATATGAAGAAAAAACATAATCAGTTGAACACATACATTACATAACAAATATTTAACAGAATACCTCGTTAATTTATTTTTGTAGAATTTTATTGAAGTATAACGTTGAATTCAAATTATACTTGAAAGATTTGAAGAAATACAATTGTATATTAAATTTGCTTGAAGCTAATTTCCTGTCATTGCTAAAACCTAATTTCTTTCTGAGTCAACAGTATAACGGGTATCTTAACGTTTCAGAAGTTTAGCGCAACTGACTTCAGGTTATTCATCTTCTTGTCCAACCAACTGTCAATATATTCCAAACTTTCTAAAAATAAAAATAAAAATATGCTATTCTATCCCGCTTTGCGAAAGTTGTTATTATTTGTATATGTGTGGCAAAATGCTGATGGTTAGCACTGATAGGTAATATTTAGTTTGAGGAGCATTGCATTGTGTTCTAAAAATTCTTATTAAAACTAAATTTGAAATATACTTTTCTGCATATTTGAAAACCCCGGATTATAAAAATTAAATTTAAAATTTTTTTATTCCCGAAACCAATGTATTGCGCATTTACATTTCAATTTTATTGCACTAAACTACTTGTTACAAACGTGGTTACTTACTTTACTCAGGTCAAATGGTTTAGCGCAGTCTCACGCTAAAGGAACTAGCTATAGACAACATATAGTAAGGCTTCACGATAACGATATTAAAAGATACAAACAAAAAAGCTCTGCAAACTCTAAACAATAAAAGATGTAAATATCTAAAAGAAGGCAAGTAAGATCAAGTCAAGCAAATATTTTCATTTTTATTTAGCTTCACACCCCCTCAAAAATTGTCCACCACCCATTGTGGGCGCACCTCACCGTGTATAAAAACCACTGGTTTAGCGCAGGAATTATTAAAGAAAAATTAATTTCTAAACAGTTGACCATGACGTTAATTGAACATAGAATAAAATAGCTAAGCAGAATAAGTTCTTAACTCACTGTTCATTCTTGACGTATATTGATTCAAATCTATGGAGAGTAGTTCAGCTTTAAAAAAGACAAGACGAAATTATAGAGTAATTAATATCAATTTATGGTAATTTGTAATGTTATAAATATTATATTTTTATTTTAATTATATTTGATTGAAGAAACATAATCAATTTAGTTTATTTTAATCCATTTAACGGCATCCACGATCTGGTTAAATTACTTGATAGCAAAGTTGCTGTAAAGTTTCATATTATTTTCCGAAGCAATTTTATTGATAGCTATAGACATCCGACCTAAACATCACTTCTTTTAAGATTGATAAATTCTTCACTATTAAAATGTTGTAATTTTTATGTAAAACAACCAATAAATAATCAGTAGATAATACGATTACTTCGTTTGACCCTCTGAAAATAAGTCAGCATTGTATATACAAATAAAAGTACATTATCACAGAAGCTTTAAAAATTCATATGCTGCGTATTATGTCATATTCACTTCTTAAAATTAAAAAAAAAACTTTAGAAATCTTATAATAATAGAGCAATATTATTTAGTAAAACAATAGAAAAGAGCTTTTGTTTGGTTTTCAGTGAGTTTATTTATTATTTGAGACTTACCGTCTGATTGCAATTTTTTGACTGTAAACATAATATTGAAGAATATAGAATATAAATGATGAGCAATCGTTAAAATATTTTTCTAGTATTGCACTTGTGTTTATAAAGCTTTATACATAATTTATTGTTATATCAAAATTTATGAATAATGAAAATAAATCAATACTAAAATTTTTTTTTCCAATAAAATAAAAACGGAAAATAAATTGTATCAGCACAAAATATCTGTGTGTAATAACTCGGTATTGTCTGACAATTCAATCCAAATTTATTTTGGGCTTCGGAATAATTCGAAACAAGAAAATACCTACGATAATTTTCAAGATCTTCGAAAATGGTCATTTCTTTTTCTGAAAAGCAATATAATTGTGTGAAAAACAAGATCTTGTTTTGGAGTTTCGGATATTTATTTTAATGTTTGGCTTGCATAAAAATAACAAAGCGCACTATTTGTTTACGTTTCATTTTGAAAAATGCGAGATACTATTTACTGGTATTCAAATAACTAACACATCAAACTGTCAGGATTTATACCATTGAAAAATATTTTGAATATTTGAATAAAATTTCGCAACTATGCAAAATTGTTTAAACATATACACAACAGGGTGTAATTACCCATGTAATTTGTGTGGTTGGGAAGTAAGCCTTGGAAATAGATCCGTTCAGTGGATATTATAAAATTAGAGGTGAAATGAATAAATAGCACTGACGATAAATTTCTTCCATTGAATTCAGTTGAAAGTCTAAAATAAAATTGACCTTTTCGTTATTTCTGATTTGAAGTTGTTTTTATGTATTGCAAGAATGAAAGACCGGACAGTTATTTCAATCATCATGTGGAATGTTAGAGAACTAAAAAGGATTTTTATTTTGTAATAAATCTTGATCATAATTTTTGATCGACTATTTGAGCCAAAATACCTTTTCTGTGCTCAAGTTACACTTTAAATTGTTCATTAGACTTTAAATATAATTAATGATTGTTTTTTTAGTCCAATTTAATTTTATTTTTAAAATATTTCTGATTTCGTCGCATGATATTTAATTTTTCAACTGTATTTTGCATTCCGCGTTATTATTTCAATAAATATATCTTTGTTACGCACGCTTTAAAAATTTAAAGAATAATTAATTATCCAATCTATAAAATTTTTACGTTTAATTGATAAAAAAAACATATCAAATTCATTTTATTTTAACCATTTCAGCGCCATTCATAATCTGGTACAATTCAGTTGATAGTAAAGTTGCCTCAAAGAGTCAGAATACCCGAATCAGTTTTGATAATATAAAAATTTGTAACTGTAAGAGCTATTAAAAGAATATCTGAACATTATCTATTGTAGGATTGATAATACTTCACAATTAAAAAGTTGCAAATTTTATGTAAAACAACCAGTATATGACCTGTAGAAAACAAGATTACTTTATATGGCCCTCTAAACATAAGTCAGAATTGTATATATAAAATATCAATGTTAAACCTTTTCATAACTCATGATGAAATACACTTCCTAGAATTTGAAAACACTAGGAATATTTTAATAATGGAGCAATACTATTTAGGGAAAAAATACGACAGAGTTTTTGATTTTTTTTTTCAGCGAGTTTCAATTATTAACAGTGCTCATCTCAAAAACATATTATTATTTACTTCTGATTCCAAATTGTCTAATGTGAACATAATATTAAATAATATAAATATTTAACAATATTAAAAAATTTGAAATCTTTTTCTAGTAAAGCATTTGTGTGTAAAAAACAATATACCTGATTATGTGATCTTCCAAAATAAATGATAAATAGTCCAATACTAAGTTTATATTTAATCAACAAAATAAAAACAAAAGTAATTTCGTTTTCATAGTTCATTTTGTAATTGATATTAGAGTAGAAAATCTGTGTGGAATAATTCTGTGTATACCATATGACATATCAATAAAAAATCTCTGTGGACATCTTAATCTAAACAAGAGAATAAAGTAAATACTTACTATTCCGGTTAATATCCCCCAAAATTGTAATTTCATGTTCTAAAAATTAAATTATTTGTGTTGAAAACAATATATTTTTGGAGTGCCAAATATTTTCCTTTAACGTTGGCTTGCATAAAAGTAAAAAATCATTTTTCGTTTAATTTTGTTTTATTTGAAAGATACAAGATGCTATCAATTAGTATGCAATTATTTACCAGATAAAAAATTTATTATTTATGGCATTGAAAAAATCTAGTTATTTCAATTGATTTTTGTTACCTCGTGGCATTGTTCAAACATACACACAACGTAATAAATATATATAAAACATGTCAGTGGTGTTAAATATGGAAGACTGAATATAAATATAATTAAATGTACTCACGATTATATTCTCCCATTGATTTCAGTTCAAAGGCTAGAATAAAAATAAATACCTAGTTATTGTATTTTGTTACCAGCATTGCGCAGTGTCAGCTTTTCTATATTCAGCATAATCTTTCATTTATTATTACTATATTTTAATATCTAAATTCAGAAAATAAAACAAGATTAATATAATTGGTAATGATTCTTTTTCCAAATATTCTGAGAGAAACTGCAGTTTCTATGCGGTGCTTAGTCATCATACAACGTTTTTATTAACGAATTGAACAGTTTTAGTTTTATATTTTTCAAGTTTTCAAAGATATTTACATCTGAAATGTTTCTACAAAGAGAAAACAGAGTATCTTTCTACAGTTATATTTGTAAAAATTAACGAGAGGGTTTTATTCTTTGATGAAAATATATCGGCGGACAGAGATCACAACAAGTTTTCTTATTAAAATGCAATACTTAAAATAGTAAATACTTACTATAACTGTTAAGATCCTGTAAAATTGTCCTTTCTTGTTCTAAAATTAATATAAGTGTGAAGGAAACAAGATATTTTTCCAGTTTCAAAAATTTATCTTTAAGCTCGTTTTGCATACAAATACCAAAATCATTTTTGGTTTATTTTTGTTTGATTTGAAAGATACAACATGCCATTAATTAGTATGCAGTTATTTACCAGATAAAAATTTTATGATTTATGGCATTGAAAAAATCTAGTTATTTCAATTGATTTTTGTTACCTCGAAGCATTGTTCAACATACACACAACATAATATAAATGAAACATGTGAATGGTGTTATTGGGAAGTATGCTTTAAGAATACTTGAGTAGATTGGATATAAAGCCAAATATGAAAGACTGAATATAAATAAAATTAACAAGCACTAACGATTAGTTTCTTCCTTTGATTTCAGTTCAGAGTCTAGAATAAAAATAAATATCTAGTTATTGGATTTTGTTACCAGCATTATGCAGTGTTAGCTTTTCTATAATCAGTATAATCTTTCATTTATTATTACTGTATTTTAATATCTAAATACAGAAAATAACACAAGTTTAATATAATTCACATTTATTCAATCAATAGAATTTTTTCTGGTAATGAATGTCTTTCTAAATATTCTGAGAGAAACTGCAGTTTTTATTCAGTGCTATGCTACTATTTTATTTGTAAAAATTAACGAGATGGTTTTATTCTTTGATGAGGATAAATCAGCGGACAAAGATCAAGAAAAAGTTTTTGCATGATATTAAAAATGTTTTTTCATGAAATAAAACAAAATGACAAAATAAAATTTTGTGTTAAATATTGTTTTTTTTTTTGAAAGAAAATAAAAAACAATGAAATTTAAGTAATAATATATTTTTAGTCTTTTAGCAATTTGTCCTTAAATTTTAAAATTTAAAATATAGTGGTTTAATAGTTGCGACGAAAAACAGTTTTGGCCAATTCTAACAGCAATCTCTTTGGACTTCTAAATCTAAACAAGATATTGATGTGAATACTTACCATAACTAATAATATTTTCTACAATTATCGTTTCGTGCTCTAAAAATGATTAAAAGAAAACAAGTTTTTTTTGTATTGATAAATATTTATCTCAAAGTTTGGCTTGCATAAAAATAATTGCAGCAATTTATTTTTCATTTTCAAAAATACGAGATGCTATTTATTAGTAGGCAAATAATTGATTAACACGTAAAATTGTCACGATATATAGTACAGTATTATAATTTTTATCTGACAATCAAACAATTTAGTTGAATAGCATTTTGCGACAATGCTGTATTGTTCAAACATGATACAAGCACATCATGATAAATAAAAACACTAACGAATAATTTCTTCCATTGTTTTCAGTTCCGTGTCTAGAATACAAATAAATATTTAGTTAGTTTTATAAGTATTGAAAAAACATGACCATAACAGTAAAATAGTTTTTCAATACGGAATGTCTGTCATTACACTATGAAAAATGACTTTTATCTTGTAAGAAACCATGATAAAGAGATTTTAACCATTTCAAATCTATAGAATGTGTATTTTTCATCTAGCTACTTTTTAGCCATCTTCTATATAATTTTTTTTTATTGCATTTTAATTATTCCTATTTTCCATTTAATAAATTTATTGATTCCGTCGAAAGAGATGTCATCTTTATTACGACTACATTATGCAGTATCAGAATTCGCACAACAAAATAAACCTGCATCAATTAATAATATATTTTAATACTGATATGAAGAAAAATAACGCAAGCTTTATATAATTGATATTTTCTGAATCAATGAAATTAAATTTTTGAAAGATTACCTGTACTCTCTATATACCCTGATAGTAACTGAAATTTGTTTGCGTTGATCATGGCATCATAGTCTTCTGTCAGCAAATTAAACAATTTTGAAAAGTTGTTGAACATTTTTACATTTAATAATTCACTGCATAGAAAAAACCAAGTAACTTATTACGATTTTATTTGTAAAAGTGTATGAGAGTGTTTTATTCTATAATGGCAATTCAAAATAAACTATCGAATTTATTAGAGTTTCAGTATTACATATCTACATTGGCTTGCAAATTAGGCTAATCAGTCAACCAAAAGTAAGGAAAAGTTTCCCATTGTCATAAAAATATTTTTCCATGGAATAAAAAAATAAAAATAAAAAATGTTGTGCAAAATATCAGTTTTGTGTAAAAAATACGACGATCCCAAATAAAAATGAAAAAATAAAATAATTTAGTCTTCTAACGACTTCCTTTATATTTAAATATTGAATTATTTATTCCAGTAAAAGACAAAAGAGCGATGCTCACATAGAGTCACATCAGCAAGTACTGGAGTGTTCACGACTTTGCTAGACCACAAGATTTCTGACGCAACCGATCACAATTTTTGATTTAATTTAATTGCAAAAAGACGAATCCTTAGGCTTAGAGTCTACAGGAATTTTTGAAATAACTAAAAGCAATAATCGTCTAGCAAAAAATTCAATCTTTAACCAATGAAACATTTCAAAGCAATTTGTCGAGTAGTTAAAGAGAAGGGCAATTTTTTCATAACGATATAACATCAAGATGAATATTAACAAGAGCAATAATATAGAAACAAAAGCATTCATAGGTCCACTTCGTGTCCAATAAACATCCTTGGCAACTTCTCCTTAATTCATGAAGTTTGAAATTGTTATAATATTGGTATATATCCTATTTCTAACTTTGTGTATAATTATTAAATTTGATTTTGTTTCAGTTTTCTTTCGAATAAAAATTTTGATACCAGCCTTTGTCTGTCCAAATGTAATAAAAATACGGACAAAATAAAAAAATTTTTTTTTTGTTGACTCTCAATAGTTTATACTAAATTTGGTTTCAAACATTTTATACCTATACTTGCTTGTCGTAGTTTATTTTCCTGACTCAAATCAGTCGAAGTTGTGTCTGGTGTAAAATAATAAATACATGAAAAATAATAATAATCTTTTGTTCCAATTAAGATTGATTCTAAACATCATTAAGAAATATTGGCCCTGATTAGTTTATAATAATTTTGGTTTAAAACATTCTATAATAACCAATGCTAGACAAAGTAGAAAAAAAATTGTACCTGTAACATCAGTAGTACTTGTGTCTGTAACATAACAAATAAAAATGAATACATGTTCAAAATTGACCTAATAAATTGAAATAATTTTTTGTTTATATTCATCCAAAGTATAATTCTACACACCGTACTGCTATAGATTTCGTATAATTTGGATCGTTTGTAGAAAGCTTTGAAGAATTGGGATCTTGTGTAGAAAGCTTATAGATATTAAATATCAAACTGCCGTTTGATTTGAACAATATGTCATTAGGGCTAAATGTGTTAAATAGGAAATAAAGTTTATAAATTAGTTAGTAAACAAGATTGATATAAACTAGTTTACTTAAAAGAAAACAATACAGCATATAAGTTGACATAATTTTTTAAAATTGATTTCACTTGTCGTTTAAATTCATTTTACCGCGTTAGGCTTTTTTAATATCTGCTGAGTTATTCTAAAACCATTTTGAAAAAAGAGCACTTTCAAACACAGAATGCTGATTCTTTCCTCAATATTTTTTCAATATCACCAATGATTATAATAAGTCAGTATGTACCTTTGTTAAATAATCTTGCAGCACAAGCATGATTTTCAAAACTGCTGGCAAATACCAAACATACCAACGTCAAATATTGCAAATAATTTGTTGATGACATGATGCAGCAAACTTCATCAAAGTACGCCTTCTATTCAAGATCTTTACTGAATGAATTATGTTGAGTTACGTCGATGATATATACACAATAAATTGTGATAATATGTCTTCCATATTGTAAAACATATTTGCAGCAACATTTCACATCGTATGGTTCATAACAAATGATTGAATTGAAAAGCTTTGTATTGTCTAGGGATACATTGTTTTGAAATTTCAGACAATTTCATATTATATGGCGTAAGAAATATGAAATGGCTTCAAATATAGCATTCTGGAACAGTTGCAATTATGCTGGTTCAGGGTGGATAAATGTATCTTCATGTCATTCCAACGGCAGATATGAACGAGTTTTACTAGGATCGTTTACTTAAAAACACACCCACATTGAGTTAATGAGAATTAGCTAAATTATTAAATGTTCAAATTGACCAAGTAATAACAATACAAACCAAGTTCTTATATCATTTGGTTATGATACCAAAATACTGTTTCCATATTGAAAAAACACGAGATAGCACCCCCTAAAAAATTATCTATCATTAGTAATAGCAATATTCTTTGCATATAATAATAAAACATAACATACTCTATGTGTTACAAAAATATTCTCCAAGTGTGTAAAGAGTTTTGAAATAAAAATCTACCTCAATAATTTTTATTGGTTGAGCTTCTCCGATTACAAACAGAACTAACTAGTGATTTCTTCGCTATTTAACGGAACCCACTTCTTAAAATATATATTAAAATATCAAACAATCCCTCCTCATAATTTGATTTGTGACACCAAACTTCAATTCCTAACTTTAATGTTATTGTATTTGAATATCTAGAAAGTATTGCCTATTCAAATGCAGATGATCACTCAAATACATAACACATTTTTATGGGTTACAAATAGTTTTTTAGGGTGCTATGTCTAAGTGTTTTTTGTCACACGTCTTTGGAACATTTGAGATGCTGAAGCCTCAACTCGACAAAAGCCCTCGAAGTGTGAAAAGCTAAATCACTCCGCTGCTCTCGCTATTGGAATGTTTATAATTTATAATATAAAAGTTAATGTGGACGAAAAAACAGGGAAGATGACTGTTTCCAATAAATTTGGAATACTTGTACTTACCAAGGGAAAAACATTAGTTTAATAGTAACCTATAACTGCAGTCGGCATAGTCAAAAGATCATTAAACTCTGATACTGAGTTACGAATGCTTTTGAATAATTTTATTCTCATTTTACATTTACAAGAAAATTATATTTGACAAATTAACACGTTTTAAAATATTTCAAAAAGTAATTTAAAGCAAGCAAACTTAAGATCAACATAAACAAATGGTCAGAATTGGATATTAATTTAAAATTTAAATTAGACAAAATAGCTTTAAAAGTACATCATTTAAATAAGAAACATCACGATGATTATTAGGTTAATGGAATATTACAATTTGTAAGAATTTGCAACGATCATACCACAAACTACGCAAAGGCGACAGCAACAATTAGTCTGAAGAACAAAATCGTCAGACCAATATTTTTTAAATTTTATTAGGTTGTAGATGAAAAATAATGTTTCTGTTTATACAGCAATTTTGGAAAATGCTGCATTCTTGTCAAATTTCCAATTTCGTAGGGGGGATATTACTTATACATTGCCAGAAAGCTATTATATGGTCATAAGCTTTTTGCTGGGTATACCAAAAGATCAAAAAAATCAATTATGTCCGTTTGTTACTCATCAATTTTGAGCTTGGCTAAAACTTGAAAAAAAAAAACGAAATTTGGTGAACGAGTCGGAATTAATTTTTTTGTATTCTGAAAATGTATTTGAAACAAAGTGAATTTTGAATTTTGCACATCCGAGAGGGTGAATATTATTTCACATACTCAAAACCGTTAATTTCTACTTCTGAGTTACAAAAAGCACAAAACTTATACTTAACTTACTTTCTAAAACTTATGACTAGTGAAGCTAATGACTTTTTTCATATGCGATGTTAAAACATATATATTTAATATTCAATTTATATTTTACAAAGTACAACACAGAAATTCCGAAATAGACGGGCAAGTCTAATAAAAACGTGAATAAGAATAATTCCATTTTCAGTCATTTGGTCCTGGTTTCCCGGTATTTTATAATGTGTCAGAAAGTGACTGTAGAAGACTGATAATCTTATCCAATGTATTAGACGGATATTTCAAACTTTATAAAAATAAAGTGATAAATATGTTGTTTGTTCACTCATTTTTGAACCAACTAATTTTTCAAACAATGTTATTAAAATGCAGATAATTAGTGACAGGTACCACTATTAATAAAAATATTGAATTCTGAAATTAATAAAATATTTCTTGAAGTTTCATTCAACTTGTGTTTGCAAATATCTAACAATATTTTAAAAATATTCCTTCTTTTTTCCGAGGGAGGTCTTCAATTCAGGCTCCCCACTGAATGAAACATGTTATGGAAAGCAGATAATACATATTAGCAATATGACTTCCATATTGAAAAACATATTGGCAGCAACAATTCACTTTGCATGAATTTTAAATGTTTCTTATCTACGCCAGCAGCATTGTGGTACATTCTGAAATAGCCAATTTATCTTCGTTTGAAAAAATTGGGTTCCTGAGATACTCTTTATGTACACAGGGGGAGATAAATATATGTAACTATTTTTCACTTTAATCTCGTCGTTTTACTTGAAAGTCAGAGCTATCATAAATGCAGCCAAACGAAAAACACGCATATATTAGTCAAGCTCGTATGATTTGGATGTCATTAATAATTCTAGGATTGATTTTGGGAAAAGAGATCTCTCGATGGATGTTACGTAAGATTTTTTTCAATTTTTTTTGCGGGAACTCTCTCAAAGATTATAAGAATGCTCGAACGTTGTGTAGATTGTGTACAGCCAAAAATGTACCTGTTGTCAAAAATGTATTGTATACGTTGGCTTTTATAAGAAATTTTTTTTTTTTCAATATCCTCCATCACGATTTAGTGGCTTAGGTATATTAAAATTTTCAAAAAGGAATTTTCATGTATTGTATGTAAACGTTGAGTTCCACTTTAGCCTACGCACAACTCCGTGTTAGTGGAGACTCGTTGAGACTTGGCATCGCGGTTTTTCGTCCAGCAGTTCAAATATCACTTGCTAGATAGAGCAAAAAA